TTGACACGTTTTTGCCATGTGTTATATATATATATATATATATATATATATATATATATATATATATATATATATATATGTATGTACAAATGACAAAAAACGTATAGTATATATACTAAAGGCCGCAAAAGATGTGTTTCGGGAAAAGATAATGCTGTCACAGTAAAAAAAAAATTAGACGTTGATATAAGGAAGTGAAGAGAGAAAGCATTGAAAAACTACAAAAGAAGCAGAAATGATAGAGATAATAAAAACACAGCAAAGGAAAGATAGCAGAAACGAAGAAACAAGCAAAAAATACTAATTTTTCCCCCCATTTTTCCCGCTCGTTCTTCTAGCTGGCGGCAAAGCGACGGACGTCACCTGTTGTTTCGTCTGCCGCCTTTAAAATTTCTTAAAATTTCCACTGAAAGAACAGTTTTTGTAAAGAAATTTTTATCTATTGCCAATGTATTGTGCCAGTGTATTCTGTTATCCCGCTTGAGCGCTGATTATGGCATTCCCCGTCCCCACTGACCTAGGTCTATACACAGTTAAATCTCACTACTTTCTGTAAATCTCACTGCAAAATTAACTTCCTCTTTTTCACATGAAATATCTTCATTAAAAGGCTTTCTTTCTCAATGACAACAAAAAAGTTCCTATATTTGCATTTAACCTCGAACTGGATGACAAGAGCAACTATTATAGCGTGACAGGGCGTCTCAAAGAGACATTCGCAACTATAGTGAGTGCAATCTTAACATGTTCGCAACACCATTGTGAAGTTCTACAAGAGTAATCTCAATAAATACATACACACCACACAAAGGCATGCACACATACACACACTAATATATATATATATATATATATATATATATATATATATATATATATATATATATATATGTATGTATTAATCATTTCATCCCAAGCAAGACAATAAAGCCACTAAGACTCAAGGGATTACTAGGAGTGGAAAGAAGAAGACAGAAGATAACGCTTTAAATTGCATATAAATTTTTGAAGATCAAAGTTGACTGAAAAGTAAGAAGCTGAAAGAGACTTCCCAAAGCGATAAGTGCTTACTCTTACATCTACCCATTTCGACAATAAAACGATGAGACTTCGCCGCCAATCTAGTACTCGGTTTAAAGTCTAGGTATCAAAAAGGAAAGATCAGAAGAACAATGACTATGAAAGTATTCATAGAAAACTAGCAGCATGGCCCGGCGTTTCCAGTGCTTGATTAAAAAATCGCACGACTCATACAGCAATCGCTATCACTTGACTTTAATATTTTTGCCCTTCCTTGCCTTTAAAGGAGTGCCCTTGCCGTGCTGATGTTGCTACATGCCTTACTTCTTGCTTATCTCACACTGCGAATTCTTTTGAAGCTCTATACTAAACATTAAATCTGTTACGAAAAAAGAACTAAACAAAATGAACACAAAACGATCAGCTTTAAAAAAGGACTCGTAACTGGAAAAACCGAATGAAAAAAGAATGTTAACAATAAATACTTTTTCACACCCAACCCAGTTCTGCGGAATCAGAATCAACGTTGAGTTTAAGCAAGCGAATGAGCCAATTGGAGTAAAGTGCTATGCAGATTTAAATTTTTCCTACTTGTGACGAATGCAGCTATCGACTTTTTGCATGCTAGCATGCTGGTTAACATTCGCATCACTCATCTGTTGGCTCTCACGCTGGCTAATAGAATCTCCCTGACTATTCCAAACAGATAACTGAATTTTTTTTTTTTTTTTTTTTTTTTAGAACTGTTCCATCGTTTTTGAAATCATTTTTGATTTGCTTTGTAACGTGAAGGACTTCAAGCTTGTATGAAGAATTAAGAACCTATTGATCACTACGTATTCCGATATCAACGGAAGGGATTTCTTGAACTGTTTATATAAAATAGTTCAATCGACTTTTTTAATATTTTAATATTTGGAAATCATCTTCGAATACGTTTTAACAACATCGCCCACGTGACGACTACGTGATCATATTTAAACGGAACGCTGATCTTATATAAAATTTTCAGTTATCTGTTTGGATCAGTTGTGCTCTTATGTCCATCGTCTTTTGTGTTAAATTTTTATAGGTTCTAATGTTAATAATGTTTAAATGAAAATGTCCTGAAGATGGTCTAAAATAGACCGAAACGTCCGACATTGACTTTATATTAACATTAATACAGCATAATTGCATATTAAGATTTTTGTTTTTTTTTCTGTATTTTTCTTCATATATATATATATATATATATATATATATATATATATATATATATTATATATATATATACATATATATATCAGTATCATTGATGAGTTAATGACTTTTCTCCAGTTAAGATGATCAATTACAATCTCAGTGAGGCTCCATGCTTTCAACATTTCTTGTGTTTCAAGTTTATTCCCGATTTCAAGTGTAATTCAAATATATAATCCATTGCTAAAGAGGCTCGGAAAATCCTCGACTCATTCTATCACTTCTTGTTGGTAGTACCTGATTTTTTTCTACCTTTCTTTATATTTTTTTTACAAAAGTTAAATTTAGACCAAATGTACCATATTGGCCTGGAACTATTCAATCATCCCTTTCCAGCTTTAGTAGTGTTCAAATTTTGTTACTAGATCTTTTGACAAAGACAATTTTTCCATTCTGCAGCCTTCTTCCGCCTATGCACAAAATCACGAGTCTAGATCTACTTTATTCCTGTTTCCATGACAAACACGTTTATGATGAGTTCAATTCATTAGTCCCACCAGTTCAGACCTTTACTAGGACACGCCATTCTACTTCGAGGGAGCCAAATCATCTTCATTTCCCCCGTATTCCAAATGAAAGGAAGGTTTCTCTCATGAAATGCTACTTTTTGGAACAGGCTCCTGCGCTAATGGTTTCCTGAATAGTACAAAGAAAGAAAGAAAGAAAGAAAGAAAGAAAGAAAGAAAGAAAGAAAGAAGGAAAACGTGTTTGAGGAAAGAAAAATAAAGTTAAGTCTGTTGGAAGGAGGAAAAGTGTAGAAAAAAGAAACAAACAAACAAACAAACAAACATTTAATAGAAACCGTGTGATTAGCTAGATTCAGAGACAGTGCTATACATAACACGGCCATTTGCCTGGGGTCATGGAAGAGGAAGACAGTGGAATATAACGAATACCGTGAAATAACTTATGAACTTTAACATGTGAAGTATATATCGTTAATCTGACAAGTGATTGTTTGATGTGTACGACCACTCGGGTGTGTAATACAAAATGGACACGATAATGATGAAAATTAAATAATATAGATATTTCCTTGTGATATTATTATTCTATAGTGAATTCCTTTGCCACTTCAAAGAGTCCATCTTGGAAACAAAATGAAAAGCTCTGACAGACATTTTCATCTATCAATAGAGATAAGAACGGCTTCGTTGTACATCGAAGTTTAACCCATTAACTGCCAATTTTTTTAATTCGCATTTTTGGCCCAGACAGATGTCTTAGAAGTTTATTTATTCCTTATGTTTAATTTCAGTAGTCACCATTGTTGTCTTTATAGAAACTAGAACATCAAATATATGTGTGTATAAAACATAAAAAAAATTATATTGATTAGAAATAATAAAAAAAATACGTTTCAAAATAGTCATTATTTTTCTACCCGTGAAATGTAAAATTACGAAGGAAAGCGTCTTCTTACGCCGAATAATAAAAACCTTTAAAGGCTAAGTGTTGTAAAATATACCTCTGAAAATGCAATGTATGTAAGCAATTCAATGTAAATACAAGGAATAACATGTAGTGAGTTTAATTTTAACAGATATCCAAATGAGGCTCATGGCAGGTAATGGGTTAATTCGGGTTTAATTAAAAGCTTCTTACTCAGAAATGTTCAGTATCATAGTTTATTGTATAACGCATATATGCGTACCTATTTAAAATCAAGAACAAATATTAACAACAGACGAACACGGAAAATGGAAGACAGCATAATTATAGATGTTTGGCATGCAATGGGAGAAAATCTTCGACTAATAAATTGAGAATCAGATGTATCCTTTAGAATAACCCCAGGTTTGGGGAAGTAAATGGCATTTCTGAAAAGAAAGCAAAGATGGCGACTGATTTGACTGACAGCAGATAACCTACTTCCGGTTACTGGATGACGTGTCTAATTGAATATCAATTTGATTATTAAAGGATTTAATCCGCTAAACTAATATTGCATGAACCATTAATAAATTTATTCTACACTTGATCATACGCACGCACGGACAGACACTCGTAAATAAACATGTGCATCAAGGAAGGGAGATAACATCGCAGACGGTTCTAATGGTGTCAGTTTTTACTGAGTGACTTCGTTTAATGAAAGGACTAACCATCAATTGCAAGGAAGCAGAAAGTACGGTCATCAGCAAGAGAAAATGCCCAAGATGGGAGTTACAAGTTGGTAATGTCAACAACCAGCAAGTACAGAAGTTTATATGTCTCTGAGAAATGTTTTAAAAGAGAATAGGAAATGTGACGCCGAAATCCGAAGACGAATTGGACGAGCGAAAGAGCCATTCCAAAAGTTAAGCAACGTGATGAGAAACAGAAAAAAATTTAGTTAGGAACAAAGGCAAGAATACCGAACTGGTATGTAACACCGATCCTCTTATCTGACAGTGTAGGCTAGACAATCTCCTCCCGGGCGAGAAGAAAAATTGAGGCAACAGAAATTTTGTTCTAATGAAAGATACTGAGAATTCTCTGGACGGAGCGCGTTAGCGACGATGAAGTATTAAAGAAAATATCAATAAAATGAATACTTATTCCCAGAATCAGGAAAACATAGCCGAAATTCTTTATAAAATAATAATAATAATAATAATAATAATATGAAAGAAAGACAATAGAAAAAAAGAAGAATGCAGGAAGAAAAAAAAATTATTTTAAATAAAGCAGTAAGAAAAAGTAAGAAATAAGAAACTAGGAAGAAAGAAAAGTAGAAAGCAACAGGGGATTAAAAATTAAGGAAAGAAATAAATAAAGAAAGAAATAAAGAAAGAAAGAAAGAAAAGTGTATGAGTGTAGAAAAAATAAAGTCTGTTGAAAGGAAGAAAAGTGTAGAAAAGAGAAAGAAAGAAAGAAAGAAACGAAAGAAACGAAAGACAAAGAAAGAAAGAAAGAAAGAAGGAAACGAAAAAGAAAGAAATAAAGAAAGAAAGAAAGAAAGAAAGAAAGAAAAAGTGTATGAGTGTAGAAAAAATAAAGTCTGTTGAAAAGGAAGAAAAGTGTGAAAAGAAAAAGAAAGAAAGAAAAGAAACAAACAAACAAACAAACGAAAACGTGTTTGAAGAAAGAAAAAAAAATAAAGACAAACCTTTTTTAGAAGAAAATTGTAGAAGAAAAGAAGGAAAAGAAAAAAGAAAGAAAGACAATAGAAAAAAAGAAAGAATGCAAAGAAAAAAAAAATTATTTTAAATAAAGCAAAAAAAGTAAAATAAGAAACTAAAGAAAGAAAAGAAAGAAAGGGAAAAAATTAAGAAAGAAATAAAGAAAT